TCAGCGGGGAGTCTGCTTCCCCCTCTTCCTCTGCCTGCCACTCCCCCTACTGAGTGCGTGCTCTCTTGCTCTCTCTCTCAGATAAATAAAATAAAATAAAAAATGGTTTGCTGAGATTCCTGCATCCTAAAATGTCTTTTTTTTTTGCCCTTCAATACACTAAAAGGCTCTAATGAGGACAAATCAAACAATTGTGTTGAACAAGGAGATATTAACCCAATTCTAGTTAACCACTCCCTCTTTTGTGAGTTTATGACGACCTTACGAAGACACCTGTCGGCATGTATTGTCTGTCTCCATAGTAAGGTCTGTAGAAGTTAGTACCTTATCTTTGCAGCCCCTGTCTGATACAGTTGTCTTCCAGGGCACTTCCATACACATCTGTTACCAAAATAAATGCATACTTATCAATAGAATTCACCAGAGCAGTGAGTTTATATGGAAATTTATATCAACTTTATGCTTAGAATTAGTCCATAGTTACTGAGAAACTACTGTAATAATAGCAAAAAATACTTAGTGTTTACCATGTACCAGGTTCTGTTCTAGTCACTATTATATATAAACTTCTCTAATCCTCTTAACAGATAGGGCTTTTTTTTTTTTTTGTCTGTCATTCCCATTTTACAGGTGAGAAAATTTAGCCATAAAGTAATTTACCTAATGTCAGATAGCTAGTAAGTAGTAGAGACAGCATTCAAAAGCGACATAGTCTGGCTCTTAATTCCTCCACTATCTTTGTAATTTTTGAAAAAAAAATTTTTTTTTAAGAGGGGGAGAGGGGTGAGAAGGAGCAGAGGAAGAGGGAGAGAGAGAATCTTAAGCAGGCTCCATGTCCAGCACAGAGCCCAACTCGGGGCTCCATCTCATGTCCTTGAGATCATGACCTGAGCCAAAACCAAGAATCAGATGCTTAACTGGCTGAGCCACCCAGGCTCCCCAGGTTATTTTTGAAATTCTAATCACAGGGCTTATATAAGGTATTTATGACATTTTTTAAAGTTCATCTTTGTCCCCTAATTCCTGCATAACTTAGATTTCCTGGTCCACTACTTTATTATGAAACCTCCAGTTATTAGTTGATACAGTGAACTTAGAAATTCTTTTGGAAAGAAGTAGTTAGAAAAAAATATGCAAGTATTCATTTGAGAACCTGCTGTATACCTTGCGCTCTGCCAAAGGGATGCAGATATCTAGGAGTTAGTTCTCCTGCTTGCTGCTCTACAGCAGCACCTTTACCAGTGTTACCTGTGAGTTCTTCCCTAAAATAGACTTCTTTCTTTCCAGCGTGTGATGCATAAAGCAAACATTTTACAGATCAAAGGTGCATTTAGTGTCTTTATTCACATTCTTGAATTGTAAAGTTTGTAGGCTGAAGTTTGGTTTCGTTTCCAAAACAAAACAAAAAAATGTTTCCCAAAGATGGAAGGAACTTTAAGGTGTAAATAATTACTACTTATAGGCATCAGAACTATATTTCCTTATCAGTTGGTTGTGATTCTTAAGTTTTGAATAGATGGTGGTGACAAGTTTGAGCTATCTAGATTAAAGAAGTTTCATTTTGTTACACTGTCATTAAAACTTCTGTCTTTAATCATCAAGTATCTCTGTGGAAGAAATAGATTTAAGCTAACAAATACAAGTAAGATGAAAATATATATGGTAGATGAGTTAAATTTATTTGAGAGCCTAGAATATTCTCCAGATGCTTTCAAAAGTCTTGGGTATTCTGTTTATATAAGCGGCTGAGAAGTTAATCTCTAAAATGTAGAAAAATTGGGGCACCTGGGTGGCACAGTCATTAAGCATCTGCCTTCGGCTCATGTCATGGTCCCAGGGTCCTGGGATCGAGCCCCGCATCGGGCTCCCTGCTCGGCAGGAAGCCTGCTTCTCTCTCTCCCACTCCCCCTGCTTGTGTTCCCTCTCTCACTGTGTCTCTCTCTGTCAAATAAACAAAATCTTTAAAAAAATAATAATAAATAATAAATAAAATTAGAAAAATTAAGTACAAGTTTTAAATGTGCCTTAATATTTCAGAATTTTAATTTCCATTTTATTTGCAGCTCCGATCGTCTGATAGAAGAGACAATAAGGTAGGAAAAAATTTTGTTTTACTTTAGTGTGTTTTTTGTTTGCTTGCAACATAAATGAACAGATTAGGTTAACCCTGTAACTAGAGTTAAAGTTAATTTATCATTCTTAAAGATGGGAATTTCACTAGATTGTGATGTATTTTTACTGCATCCTTCTCTTATCAGAGACATTTGAAGCCCAAAATACTTGTTTCTAGAACTAAGCTGATTTACCGAGGTTAATTTTTCTGATTAATTCATACTCAGTACTTTCAGCTTCAATTTTTTCATTCTCACTTTTTAATGGAAAACCATCTTAGATGTGTGATTTGGTAAGTGTCTTATTTATACCATTTATGTAGGTTTGGTTTCTGTCACAGCAGCTACAGAAAATCTTCTGCAGTAAGATTTAGTATTGTCTGTAATAACACTGAAGTAGTTTATTGTTTAAGGTAAGGGACATTTATTTGTTGGTTTGAACTGCTTAATCCATCTGGGTTTGGTGAATTTTTAGATATTATCTTATGACTGTAAAAAAGTAAATGAACTAGATCTGATCTCTACAGTTTAGAATTCAGCAATGTCTAAAGCATTTTTCAGGAAAGGTATAATAAAGTACATGGAAACATCAACAAACATATGTACCTTTACCTGAGGCCATGGTATTGTGCTCAAGTGCTTTACATGCTTTATTTTATTTAATTTCTTCAATAACCCGTGAAATAAACAGTGTTCAAAACAAAAAAGAAATTAAGGTAAGTAATTTGCCTGTGATCACATGACTGATACATTGTGTTGCGGATTCAAATCCTCAAATCTGAATCTCTATAATTCTAGAACCAGAGCTCTGTCTAAATGACTATTATATTTACCACCTTGTAGAAGGAGTACAGGCTTTGGAGTGTGATTTGGTTTGTGCCACTTATCAGATCTCTGTTCTTGGATAGGTTACTCCGGGCCTTCATTTGTTATGTGTTTAAAAACAGGGATTGATGATAATACCTACCCTAAAAGATTATTGTGAAGATTAAAGATAGTATGAGGTAAAATGCCTAATACAGTGCCTGGCTGATAGTAGGGAATCTGTAAGTAGTAGCTGTATTATTAATGCAGACTTTTTTAAAACTTTTTATTTTGATATTTCAGATTTTCAGAATAATTCCAATAGTACAAAGAATTCCCATATACCCTTTACTTAGTTTCCCCACCTTAACATTTTGCCACATTTGCTTTTTCACTTTTTTTTTCTGAACTACTTAAAAATAAATTGCAGACATGATGCCTCTCTACCACTAAATATTTCATCGTTCATATTTTAAATATGTATTTATATTGATACGGACTCATGGATTCTTATTTTATTCAGTAGGTTATAATGTTTCTATCATTACTTAATAAAGTATAATCTCTTGCAATAATATACAGTTATCATATCTGGAGATTTTGTTTAAATTACATGCACTGGGTTGTCCATCTGAACAAAGTTTTTGCACCATTGCCTAATTGTCAACTGAAATATTTTCCTTGTGACTCCTTCCCTTTCATCAGCACATAAAATGAAATCACAGTTGCCAAGGATTTTTTTTTTTTTTTAAGATTTTATTTACTTATTTGACAGCGAGAGAGGGGACACAAGCAGGGGGAGTGGGAGAGGGAGAAGCAGGCTTCCCGCTGAGCAGGGAGCCTGATGCGGGGCTCGATCCCAGGACCCTGGGATCATGACCTGAGCCAAAGGCAGGTGCTCAACGACTGAGCCACCCAGGCGTCCCTTGCCAAGGATTTTTTACTTAAAGTTTCCCTATTATCCTTTTCCTTTTTTTCTTCCTTTTATTTCCTCCTGTTTCTACCTGATCTTCTTTGGACCAGGCTGCCTTAATTAAGCTTTTCAACTCAAAGCTGGCCTACTTAAGGGCTGGTAATTATGAATATAAAAATTTGGAATACTTCCTAGTATAAGAACATTTGAGAACCATTGAATCACTGCTACTGCTATTTTGCTAGTTAAACAAAAAAATGTAATTATAAGGTTTTTTTATTTTACTATTTCCCTTTATTTCAAAATCTGGTAGGTATCACAGGTGAAATTTTATTGACTCTTTTTTTTTTTACATGGTCAGTGGTCTTTTTAATAGAAAAGGCAATAATATACGGTTGTTTGCACCAACTACAACTTGCCAGAAAGTATCAGTTTAGGGTAACAATTCAACAGCCATTAACAAGTGCAAATGTCTAATTGCCTTTTAGTGACATAGGGTCCTTTCAAAGCTGTTTTTAAATTATTTATATGGTTTAGCATATTTGAAAATACTTTTATAAATAAAGTTTACAAGGAATATAATTTTGAAAGGCAAACTTTTTCAATAATCACCATTTTTTTTTTTACTAGCATAACATTAGAATTTACTTTTTGTCTTGCTTACAGAGCAACTAAGAAAGTACAGTTGTATTGACCATATTGATTGTGAACAAAGCAACCATCAGTGGGACTCTGCACCATATATTTTCAGTATTAACCTCCTACTTCCTTTTCCATGGCTTTCTGGGTTGGCTATTGGATTTGGACTGCAGTGTAATAAACAGCTAAGGTTTAATTAATTACTTTAGTGTGTTTTTTGTTTGCTTGCAACATAAATGAACAGATTAGGTTAACCCTGTAACTAGAGTTAAAGTTAATTTATCATTCTTAAAGATACAATCAATATCCAATAAAAGGACTATGTATGTAATTTACCTGCAGATGTGTTTGCAATACCATCAAAGTGAGTTTAAATAAGTAAGATATATGAAAGGCGACTAGGAGAGATTTCCACAAGTTAACACTTTGTAGTCTCAGAAGAGATTTCCTTATTGTTGAGAGATGGTATCTTCTAAAACTCTGATAAGGGCCTGGTGAAAAACAGGAATAAATCTCCCTATGTGCACCTTTACCAAATCTACTCCCTTGTGGGCATCCATGCTGGTAAACTATATTGTCCCATTATGGCCTTTTCTAGGATTTTCCTGATACTCTTTGTGGTTCCCATTGGGACAATATCTGTAGCAAAGTCCATAATCTGCAAGATAAACCTGATCAGGATTTCTGTAACCTAACAGTAGATTTGCTGCTTTTATATCACCATGAACATATTCATTTTCATGTATATATTCCAGTACATCGACCATTCGGATACCTAGCTGCAGGACAGTTGACTTTTTAAAAGTACCATTCTGGTCTGAGATCTTCTGTAGGTCTATTCCTAGTTTTTCCATTACCATAAATCTGTAACTTCTTCCCTTGAATTCAGTAATACTGGATCCATAAAACAGAGGAATTCCTAAATAATCAAGTTGTTTGAGTTCTATCCAGTTTTTGATAGTCTTTTTTTGCAGCTCTTTGATAAAATTTAAGTTCTGAAAATAAAGGGCCATTTTCTTGATATTCCACTTTTACTACATGTCTTGCATCTTTATCTGGTTTATTTGCGGGAAAAGCTAAATATATCAGTCCAAATCCTCCAGAGCCAGTCATTTTGCCCAGTATCTATTGCTTTCCTTCCATATCATCCAGAACCTTGCCTTCTGGAAGTGGAACAGGAAGTTTGTATTTCTCATTTCTTCTTGGTGGCATCACTTCGCGACGGCAGCTCCTCCCACGGCGCGGCGGGGCAGGCGGAGTGCGGGGCGCAGAAGTGCCGCTCCACCCGATGCCCAGGACCGGGAAGGAGAGAGGGCTGGCCCGGCCCTGGGTTTCCCCCACCCGAAATTTTATTGACTCTTAAGCTAGTTATGATTACTTATAGATAATATAAAATTTAAGTGTCAGATAATATTTTTGCATATTCTGTATGTAACAATTGACTTTTTCCTTTTGGAGATTTTAAGAATATGTGCACAACTGAATATAGACTCTGGCATCAATTAATTGAAAAGAACTAATATTTTTAATATTTATTCTTAAGCTTTAAATGTATAACTAGTATTGTCTGTTGTTGAAAAAATGAGTTTAGTTTACAGAGCAGGTAAGAAAATTCCAGTAAGCACATCAATGATTTATCATTTTAAAAGCATTATATATTATTTGGAGCTTCTGTTTTGCCTCTGAGTATTTGACCCTTGAAATAACAACCTAGATTTCACTCAGTGACTCCAAATGATGCAATGAGATGAGAAAGTATGTCTAGATATACCCTGTGTGGTACTGGCAGTCATGCATATTCAACAAGATAATAACATAATGTATGATGATAATATCCATTCTCTAAGGAATACAAAGTGCTTTGTGGAAATTATTTTTTAATCTTCTTTATCTACTTCTGAGTCAAAGTGCATGGGAGATGGTGATAGTCCCAGTGTAAAAAACAGAGGCATATATGATTCAAAGATTGCCTTCAGAAGCTCAGCCTCTCTTTAAATGAAATTGTGTTACTTTATACAAGACCATAATACCCGCTTTAAAGTACATTATAAATTTATGTTAAAACAAGCACATTTTAAATGTATCGTATTCTATCACAGACATAATTATGAATAAGAATTAATGATGCAAAGGATGTTGTTAGTTTGGACTCTTCTTGTGTCCTTTCTGGTTTTTGGATCTAAAATTCAGTGTAAAATTAACACTGCCGACTTGCTTTTGTTTACTCTCACCTGGTTGTTCTCCAGGCCTGCTCCCCGGCCCTGTTCCTGGGGGCCCTTTTCCTGTTGCCTTCAAATAACCTCCTTCATTGGATGTCCTGTTTCTTGAATTTAGTGTCTTCCATATTCTTAGTTTATTCCCCCATTATGCTGGGTCACGTTCTTTAGTAGTTTCCTGAGAAAGAACAGGAGGTACAATTTTGAACTTTTCACATCTATTCTCAATTCATTGTTTAGCTAAGTTAGAGTTCTAGGTTAGAAGTAATTTTGAAATTTGTGAAGGTGCGATTTTCAGTACTTTTTTTTAAAGATTTATTTATTTGACAGAGAGAGAAAGAGCACAAGCAGGGGGAGTTGCAGACAGAAGGAAAGGGAGAAGCAGGCTCCCCACTGAGCAGGGAGCCCGACACAGGGCTCCATCCCAGGACCCCGGGATCATGACCTGAGCCGAAGGCAGACGCTTAACGGACTGAGCCACCTGGGTGCCCCTTCAGTATTGTTTTTTAAGTCCAGTGCCAATTAAGATATCTGGTCCTTAGTATGTGATGAGCTTCTTTCTTCTGGAAGCTTTTAGGGTTATCCTTATTTCCCCATGTTTTGGGTGTTTTTTAACCTCCCCATAGTGAGCTTAGCATGCATCTTTTCCAGTTCATCGCACTGGGCGTTGGGTGGAACGCCCAACGGGCCCAATGGGTGGAAACTCATCTTCAGTTCTGGGAAATTTTCTTAAACTATCATTTTCCCACCTCCTTTTTCACTGTTTTGTTTTCTGGTTTTTGTTTTTAATTTTAAAAGGTAATAAATAGGTTGGACCTTCTGTTTTTCCTGTCTTACCTTTTCTCCATTTTCCATTTACCTTTTTTTCTACTTTCTGAGGGGTTTACTCAATTTGTCCTTTCAACACTTCTATTACGTTTTAATTTCCATTCTTTTTTTAAATTTACACCAGCTCTTTTCTAAGGGGTGGGTACACTCTTACACGCACATATACACATGCATATTTACATGTATTTATATGTTTATATGTTTCATGGATGTGATGCCTTCTTTTCTCTCCCTGAAGACATTAAATATAATTTAATTTTAGAGTTCCTTGAGCTTCTGTTACTGCCTCTGTTTCCTCAGATTCATTTTTCTGTTTGCTGGTTGGTTTGTTTGGATCTCTGTCTTTCATTAGAGGCTCTTTTCAAATTTGTAGTGATTCTTGGTTCTTTGTTCATATTTTTTTTTAAGATTTTATTTATTTATTTGACAGAGAGAGTACAAGCAGGGGGAGCAGCAGGGAGAGGGAGAAACGGGCTCCCACTGAGCAGAGAGCCCGACGTGGGGCTTGATCCCAGGACCCTGGGATCATGACCTGAGCTGAAGGCAGACGCTTAACCAACTAGCCACCCAGGCACCCCTCTTTGTTCATATTTAAGGGTAAGGCTCCAAAATCCAGTACTTGGAAGCTCATTCTGTGTCCATGGGTGGTGGGACACTTGCCAAGTGGTAGGCCTCACAATGGATGATCAGAAGGGGACCTGGCTGTTTCGTTGGGAGCTTCAAAGTGTCAGTATCTCTGAGGTCTCTTCTAGGTTAGATCTTCTATTGAACTGGGGGCAGTCACCTGACTTCATGGTTCAGGGAGGGTAATATAGGGGTCTGGCAGTTCCTTGTACAAATTTCTAAGAATTTCCATCTCTAGCCGTATTCCACAGTTTTACTTTCAGAGATACCTGATCCCCTCAATTCTTGATCTTTTCTAGGATCTGAGAAAGACTTTTATAAATCATTGCTTGACTCGTAGTGGTACTACGGTGAATAACTGCAGCAGATTTGGTGCTGATAATGTTATTCACATTTCTTAGTCACTCAAGTGGAATTCCTGCAATTTTCTTTTCAGTTTTCTTTATTAGATATGTATGTTTCAGAAAAGTACAATGTTCTTATTGGAACAATTTAAAAGTAAAATGTATAAAAAGTTCATCTCCTGGTAGTGTCCCTCCATTCCTATCCCCTGAGTAACATGTATTAACTGACAGTTGTTAATGTCTTTCTAATATGCTCTCACTGTCATACAAACATATACAAAGATGTTTTATTGCTTTAAATGAAAAAGGATTCATACTTTACACATTCTGTGGCTTGCTTTAATCATTCAGTGTATCATAAACATCCCTCCAGGTTAATAGAAATAATGCCATCTTATTCTTTTGAATAACCAAATATTATTTCATAGTATGGTTATATCATAATCTGTTAAACCATTCCAAAGTTGTTTCCATGGGAGGGGGGTGTTTTTGTGTGTTTGTCTTTTACTATATCAAACAATATTCTAATATATATCCTTTTATCTACTCACACATTTTTGTTTCTTCTTCGCCTCCTTCTCAAATCTTGAAATTTCAATTTTGATTTGCCATTTGCTTAGGGTTCTCCCTCTAGCATTTTCCTCCAATAGGATACCTGGTGTTGCCTGTTCAAAAGTACTTTTAGTCAGCTCCCAGATAGGTCAGGCTATTAGAGACCCCTAAGCAGAGGCATATCAGGTGGTAGTGGATGGCCCAGCAGTTTTTTTCTTCTTCAGGGCTTGGCATTCACACGAGCTGGTGGACTGTCAGCTCTCAGCTTACAGGTTCCTCGGGTTGTGCATAGCAGCCCTTTATCAGCTGCAGGTACTGGGAGCAGCTCCGTCCATCACTGCAGCTCCCATGCATGCAGGTCCATCTCTTCCACTCTCTGGGCTCCTCACTATGCAGTGAAACCTAGGTCTTTGCCCCAGTCTTGAAGGAAAGTCTAGTCTTCCCTGCCATCAGTTCCTTGGTTCTTCCTTGCTTGAGAGAGTATAGCCTACCTGGCTTTCTTCCCTGGAGATTTCAAAAGAACTTGGGATCTCAGATGGACCCCTCCCCTTCATATCTGCCTTGTTCTTGTGTTCCTCCATGGAGGAAATTAGGCCAGAGATGAGGTCAGGAATATGTGCTCTGATCATCATCTTCCCAGAATCTCTTCATCTCTGTTGCTATTTTTTTTTAATGTTTCATATATTTTCAGAATTATTCAAGAACATTCTGTTCCCAGCTGTTTTTATAACATCAATATCTATAGCACTCCCCTGTGTGTTACATATCAAAATGGATACCGACCCTGCCCTCTAGGTTTCTAATGTCCAGGAGATAAGGCTGTTGAAAGTTAATCCTGGCAGTGATAGCAAAAAATATTAACTGAGATTCTTTTAAACAGTACATCAGAGTAGTCACGTGGAAGAGACTATTCTCTTAGTAAGAGAAGGGACTTTCCCCCATCTCTCTCAGTCATTTAGTGAATGTGTAACCTTTGTCAACTGGCTTGGAAACCCAGCAAAATGTTGAATGTGTCTCCTAAAATCTGCCTAGTTGGGGTGCCTGGGTGGCTCAAGTTGGTTAAACGTCTGCCTTCAGCTCAGGTCATGATCCTGGGGGCCTGGGATCCAGCCCCGCATCGGGCTCCCTGCCCCCCCTGGGAACCTGCTTCTCCCTCTGCTTCTCTCTCTGCTTCCCACCCCCCCTGCTTGTGCTCTCTCTGGTGCCTTTGGCTCAGGTCATGATCCCAGGGTTCTGTATTGAGCCCCATGTTGGGCTCCCTGCAAGAAGCCTGCTTCTCCTGCTCCCTCTCCCACTCCCCCTGCTTATATTCCCTCTCACGCTGTCTTTCTCTCTCTCTCTGTCAAATAAACAAATAAATAATTTTAAAAATAAAATCTGCCTAGTTGGTTCCCAAGTAGAATTCTGGAACATAATCTTTTCATAAATTAAGGACTGGTTATATATGAATATTTTGTGTTGTGTTACACTTTTGGTTCTATTTTTATGATCATAATTTCCTACTTTCCTCTCAACAGTTCCTGATTAAGGATATTTTAGTAGGTGGCCCCTTTCAAAACCATTTTTTTTTTAAAGATTTTATTTATTTCAGAGAGAGTGAGAGAGAGAGTACAGAGGGAGAGGGAGAAGCAGGACTCAATCCCAGCACCCAGGGATC